TGATGAGGATGATGCTGCTGCTGCTGATGATGATGATGGTGTTGATGTTGATGCTAATGATGATGCTGATGCGGATGCTGATGCAGATGATGCTGTCGCTAATGATGATGATGCTGATGATGATGATGATGCTGATGATGATGATGATGATGATGATGATGCTAGTGATGATGATGATGCTGATGATGATGCTGATGATGGTGATGATGATGAAGATGAGGAGGACACAGAGTGAAGGAGGAAGAGGAGGATGAGGAGGAGGATGGGGGAAGAAGAGAAGGACGAGGAGGAATGTGGCACGAGAAAGATGATGATGAGGAGGAGGCATGAAAGGAGGAGAGAAGGAACGGACGACGGCAACGAGGGTGAGAAGTGGGGCTTTGGAGACATGCTGTTGTAACATGTTCTGGAACGGCGATTGGGGCCATCTTACGGGCTCTCTCTGGGTCCCCGTGGGGTCTTGTCCCAGTTGCTGTGCAGCGTGTCTCTCAACGCGCGGCGCCATGTTTGGTCCTCTGCCAGATGTGCTGTGCATGCGCTGGGGGATTTCAGCGTCCACGAGGCTGGTGAAGTCAGTTTGGCTGCGACTGTCGATGACGCTGGGGGGAACCCATGTGGACTCTCGGGCGGTGGAGGCGGGGCCTTGCTCAGCGTTTGGGGAAGTGTCTGTGTTGCGGTGCCTGCCACCTCCCGGAGTGCTGCTCGGCTTTTGGACCTCAGCGCACCATCGTCCACAGACGAATCTCACTTACCAAACAGTGCCCATCACCCGTTTCCCTTGGCGGTTTCGGAAGTTCTGTTCGAATGCGGTTTGAAGTCCAAGGGTGACAGTGCTTTTTGGGGCGTTCCAAAAAGGGCCTTGCCTTCGAGGATCGAAGGAGTTGTCATCTCTTCCGCGGCGGAAGGCGGCGGAAGCGCGGCGGAAGGTCGGCGGAAATAACGCGAGGCCGCCTCCGCCGACGGAAGCTCCGCGGAAGCCCGCGGAAGTGACGGATGTGCCCCCAAGAGATGCAAACGTCTTTGGGTGCAGGGTTACCGAAATCGCCCACTTGGCTCGACGGAATCTCTCACAGTCCCTGGGAGTGACCCTATCCACTCGTTCGGGCTGCGCCCTGGGATCGCTGCAATCAATGCGTCTGTGCCGACTCCAGCTATTTGTTGACGATTTGAAATGCTCCAAGCTGGCGCTTCTACTTAGGAATGTCAGTACGCCTTGTCTCGTTGCTAAGGCTCAGGCTGGCATGCTGGCACCAGCCCAGTCGCCCTCAGCAGCGCTGAGAACAAGCTTGCGTCGTTGCTGCTGTCGTATCCGTGGGCTGAGGTGGCGAAAGGCAGATTGGATCTCCCTCGGCGAGGGTTTTGCCGCAGGCTTTGCAATGACGTATTTTTTAGATATGATTCGACCGCAGGCTTTGACGTCGCAGTTTTTGGACAGTTCGGTAGCAGGTGGATGTGTCACCTTTGACCAACCGAGTGCATATACCACCACTGGCGTTTCCTCGTGCTCAGTCGTTGAACTCCCCACCCATATTCTGAAAATGACTCCGTGCTCTGCATCGGCGCGCATGGTGAACTATCTCTACTCATGGCTGTGTCTGTGGAGGATTCTGGGCTCTTAGTGCCCGCGACTCTGTTTTGCATACTCTCTCATACCCCGGGCTGGTTTCGACGTTCCCGACTGGGCTTGCGGACGACCTTTCGATTGCGCACGGGGGCCTCGACGGGTCATTGCCTAGTGTGGTGGAGATTTCACACGCTGCGATCGCAGCAAACTTATCATCCCACGCCTTTGCGGCATTGGCGCCCTCGTGCGTCGGCAGGGGTTCGATATCCGCGCGTGGTAGCACTGCGGGGGTCAGGAGCTTGGCCCTCGGATTCACAAAAAACGCATCTGTGCGTGCAATGTCTACGCGTACCCAGTGTGTCCTCATCTCCGCAGTTTCACGCCATCGCACTGTACTATGCCCACTGCGAGCGCGATGGCCAGCAGCTTGAAACCTGGGCTGCCCTCCTTTCGCCCCCGCGGGCTGCGCTTCAGAGGTGCGCACCGCGAGGGGGGCAAGCTCGACTGCCGTTCCCTGCGCGACAGAGCGATGGCGGCGCTGGCACGTGCTGGCAGGTTTCACAGATCCCGTCGCGATGTGGAAGATAGGCGAGCTACCGATGACGTCGTGATTGTGTATCAATTGCCGGAGGCACACAGGAAGCTGTATTTCTTGTCAAGCGTGCCGTGCCCACGACGAATACTAGCGGGTGTGTAATCTTGCGGACAGCTCCAACAGCCGAACAGTTCGACGCAATACCATAATAACTCTCCGACGGGCTTTTTCAGCCTCCGCTTTAGTTTCGATGGTGGTTCTTCGGGCTCGGAGATGGTACCCCGAGGCTTCAGTGCACGACACTGATCTTACTGTAAGCCGTCTTGGATTTGTCGGTTGCACATGTTCTCCCTTCATCCGCGCGGCTGCCCTTGAATACTTATTCAACTATCGGGACACGT